TTGATTCTGTGTACTTCATGTAATCGTGAAAATATTTTGTTGGCACCAATTCCATCTGCTCTATTCATTTGGTCGTGCCACACTTTAAGCGTTCGATCATTGAAGCATTCATCCCCGTGTGATCGCATACGTGTACATCCCCATTGGTGTCATTGTTTGTTGTTCAATTTCCGGTAATTTTTCTTTTACATTCATTCTCAAGCACACACACATATAGATTTAACGAATTACAAGCGGTAGTGGTAGTGGTGTTTGTGGTGATGCTGGCGGCTGCTAGTGCAAGGTGCTCAATTCGTGAGATGCCCGAGCAATTTATCAAAGTCTTTACTCTTGGCTTAGCCACGGCGAACAAAACTGCTGCATTGTTGCATTTATTAAATTTATTTGACATCGAGTACATAGTTTTAAATTCGTGTATAACATAAGAGCTTAGTTTAAGCCACATGGGTACACTGTGTTTCTTGCCAATTGTATTAAAAGCACAATAAATTGCGATATCATAAAAAAGAAGCGCACACACATCGGTGCAAAGAGAATAAAAAAATTGCACACAAACGAGACAGAACAAAAGAATAAAAAAAAAAGTTAAATAAAATTGATGAGTTTGAACGGATGGATATAGATAAAGTTTTGGCAATACGCGAAACACACATACACTCAATGTATAAATAAAAATTCGACATTGTTTGAAAGGTGTACGTCTTTTTTTTTGTTCGAAAACATTTCTAACAAGACAAAAACGCCATTATATTAAATTCAAATAACATCAACATGATAAGTTATGTTACGCTTATTCTTTTGATCTTATTTTATTTCCTGCTTCATGTTCCAAATTGAAAAAGAAGATAAAATCATTTTTTTTTTCGTTCAATCGATGCATAAAACGTAATATGTCCTTTTTGATGGGTTCGCTCATATTCTAGTCGTGTCGTCAATGCAACATCCGTTTTACCATCTTTCCGGCGAAGTGATTTCGTTATGTTTCGAGGGGAACTAAAAAAAAATTCTTTTCGGAAATCTCAAATATTTTCCTTCATATAATGGAATAAAAGTCATTGCATATAAGTTTGTTGTACAAGACTATCATCGTAACTAGATTTTTGCTTGTTCACATGCCGCACAAAAGCCAATCACATGCAACAAATGTGAAACGTACATATAATCACAATATTCACAAAGACAACGACCTAACGAAAACAATGCTAACATGTGAATGAGCATTATGTTGAGAGAAAAAAAATGAATGGCAAAATATAAAAAAAACGAGTGAATTGGATCTTGAGAGGGGAGACGAGGTAGTGCACGACACACACAAAATCAGTTCACCATTCAAGTATTCCCGCAATAGAACGAAAACATGTTTAAATTATAATATAATAAGCTCGTTTTATTCTCTAACTGAATTTTTATATCCTTTATCGTTGTCTCCATGTTCCTTTTTTTCTTTCTTTCTTTCTCTCTCTCTCACTTTCTTCCTCTTTCAATCTCGCTTTTTTTTCTTCCGTTTTATGTGCGAAGCAGTGTCGAGTCGACGGGTTCGAGCCCAAACACATTTTGCACTATAAATGCGACACATTCCACATTGGCACAGTTAAAAAGTATAGAAAAGAATGACGAAATGGCATTTTTCCCGTGCTTTGTTCGGCAAGCAATGATGCACTCTTATGCCCAATTCTATTACTCCATTACAAAGTATTCATGTAGCAGCGCGCCTCAACTGAAATTTATTGCATGCAAAATGCATATTATGAAGATTTTCCAGCCGCTAAAAAACCATTCCAAATTGGCAACAACAACAACAACAACCTTTTTTACAGCCCTTTCGCGCGAGCACGACGTTGCATTCGCATACAATTCGAAATAGAAACCCGCGCAAAAAAAATGTATACACACACAGCAAGTGCTCAAGACCAAATAGGCATATAAATTTTTATAAATGTTTTCTTCGTCGTCGATGTTGTTGTCGTCGCAGTTCATACAGAAAAGGAATCGAAAAGTGTTTTGTGCAACAACTCAAGCGATAACAAGACAAGAACACACAACCAGCAAGTGAAACAGAAACGCAAACCAACGAAAAAAGGAATCAAGTTTCTTTTTATGTTTTGCGCCATGTCTTGTACAAAGAAAACTGACGGAAGAGAAAAGAATTGACGATGAAATACGGTGGAATGTTTTTGTGTTGTTGTGTTGCCTGCTGTCGTCTTCGTCATCTTCGTTGTATATTGTTATTACCGTCGACGGAGGATGAAGGCACAACCGTGAAAATGAAAGCAAGCGCATCCGTTTAAAATGCTTTGAAATTGTGCAAGTAAAACTGCGATTTCTGTGCTTAGACGGAAAATGCATAACATCGAATTGTTGTGTTCAGTGGTGTATATATATGCAGTCACTGTTTTCCCTTGCTTGATTGCATGGAGTAACATGCGATTTGTGTATTGCCATTGCCATTTGCTTTTTTTGCAGTGTGTGAGGGTATGTGGGATCGAGTCGAGCAAAAGCAGCTCTTGTAAACGTACAAGTGAAATAGAAACAGAAAGAAATAGAGAGAATGAGCTATACTGAAGCTTGAGTTGTGTTCAGTTTGTCGAGTTTCCACGATCCACTTTCATTCGCAATAAGTACGGTGTTGAGTGCGGATTGTGTGCCATCGGTCTTATTGTGTGTTCGATCTATTTGCTGTGTGTTTTGTAAACGTTTGCACTGGAATCGTTTTTCAAGAGAGTTTGTTTTTTACTTCATCTCTCTCGTTTTATTTTATTCTTTTTTTTTCTTTTTTTTTTTTGTAAATGGCAATGCTAAAGAAATAGACCAAAGAGAAAAGACCAAAAAAGCTGAAATATCGCTTCGATACAAATGAATTTGCTGAACTGAAAACGACAAACAAGCAACCAAAATACAAAACCAAAAAGCACCATCACCATCAGCAACAAATACTGTCACGAGCATAAATGCAAAAAAAAAAAAAAAATACAACGAAAAAACTCAGAGAAATATAGAGAAAGAGAAATAGTTTTTGGTGTGAGCAAGATTGGAATGAAACTATGATGATACCTTTGGTGAAAAAAGCGAATAAAAATCACAGCAAATCAAATGTCTACCAACAACAATATCTAGAACGAAAACGACTACGAAAAAAGCAACAACGGTAAAAACAGCGTGAATGCAACGGAAAAATAGAAAAAAAATTGCAATAGTAGAAAAAAATAATAATAAAAGCGAAATATGAAAATGAATAAAAAAAACGAGAGAGAGAGGAAGATTCCATTCAATCCATTTTCAAATAATCTTGAATCCTTTTCCCTCTACTTCGCACACATGCTCCCACATCCAAAATAGGTGGCAGAATAGTAGTGTTTGATTCTGGGTTGGTGATATTATTGCATTTTTTATGAAAATGCGTTTTAATTCATTTCTCGTTGCACATTCCATGTGAAATTCACGGTGGCCACGAAGCAGAAAACATTGCGATAGCATTGGACTCTGTTTGTTTCTCCACTGAACTATTGGGATATACTCGCGCCCACACATACACACACACACTCAGTTCCACAACTTTCTATATTTGAATGGTATGTTCGGTTTTCTGCATCAACGAGACAGATGCATAAATAATATAATATTCTATATATTTGCAAACTCATTCACTTTCGCTGGTTTGTTTGTTCACAAAATGCGAGTTTCCTGTGAACGAACTACGCTGCCAAAATTTCAATTTATCACTTGCGGTATTTTCTGTCTCTCAACAACTAAACTTTATACATAAATAAATGTATCGACCATGTAGAAAAGTACGGATTTTGAATTGGTTTCTCGTTGTTGATCTCTCAATGTTGATTACCATTGTGTTCATCAGTTCGCTCTAGTTCATTTGCCATTGGTGGCAAATATATTTTTCTCGTTCCCAAAAAATAACTTACATTTGCATGAAAATGCAACAGTTTATAAATATACTATGTGAGTTGAGTGCAAATGACGAATGTAGCAAGTCAACGAACGAACAAACCGCATCCACATAAATATGCACACATGAATAAAAATGTGATTGCACAACATGTATCTGCTATATCATTTTGCATTCAAAATTTGATTTTCAAATCAATTGTTGTAAAATGCAATTAAATATACAGACAGAACGGAATGGATGTGTGTGTGTGTGCTTTTTTATCTGCTGTCATCAATCCGTCACGAAAGTTGAAAATCAGATGGGAGTTCATATATGTGTTGCAAAGGGAGCTCGACAATTGCGTTGATTCACCTAGGTAGCAACCTGGCTGTCTGGTTACATCATTCACTAAAATGAACAACAATAATCAAAGTGACGAGAAAATAAAGTGGAAAGAGACTGCCAACATGAAGTTCGTTATAAACGTTTCGTTTGCGATATACATTGCAACTGATGATACACGATGCAATTTAAAATCACGTGTCATCACAACAATATTAAATTTCATTTTATGCCAGTTGTTGTACGAACAATCAACAACATTTAAACGAATTAATTATTTTTCCAGGGCAATTACACAGCGATCGGATAAATCATATTCATTAAAATGGTTTTCATTTCAGACGTTTATAAGCAACCAAACGATATGCACGAATTGTGAACAACAGCACAACGATTGTCATTTCATTACAACGATATCGACATTATTTACCAATGTTTATTCCAAATATCATGCATTCGCTCGCTTTTTTACCAGTTCATTCGCCTATTTAGTAACTATAAAATAGTGAATTCATGTTTTTGATTTAATATTTTTGATTGTGTTGTTTCGGGATATGCCCGAGGTATGGAGGGAAATAGACAATGAATTTTTGATTTGTTAAGTATTCATTTTGAATGTGTATCGCGGTCAACTTTAAATTTGTTAATTAAACACACTGGATGTGTGCCAATTTTAACCTCCAATGACAAACTAGCTATTTGAAACAAAAAAAAAAAAACGAAATTCAATTACATACGATTTTATCATGTTATCATTTTTCCATCTCATTTTTAGGTACGATTTGTGAATTGGATGTTTTCGTATTTTCACACACATACACATAACACGTATGCAGTCGGTGGGCGCGTCGAACATACTCAACAAGAAAACAGGAAATTATGATCAAATGTTATTATAATTGTTCATGTGTGGAGGATTTTCGAATGAAAAACCTAACAATTTTCAGTGAAATATGAATAATTAAATGTAAAAAAAAAGATTGAGAGAGAGACAGAGAGTTAAAAAAAATTAACATAAGAAACCTAAATAATTTGCACAATGATAAACAGAAATATTCAAAAATTATTCAATTAAAATTGAAATCAGATTAAAAATCAAATTTTTTCCCCGTTTGGTGTGTAAAATATAAATTTATCCGCAGTAATGATACTCAAGATGACATCATCGATTGAACCACGCATTGTAATATCATTGAAATAAAGAATATTCTGCGCAATTAATCAAATGAACAAAATAAACGTAATAAACACAGAAACTCATTGTATAAACGCGGAATGCAGTAAAACAAAAAAAAGAATCAGCGAGAAAGACAGAAACAAAAAAAAGCGAACTGCATTTGCCTAATGAAATTTGTAAATGAAGCCTGAAACTGAACTATGGAAGTGAGAAATGACAGTTTTAATCGAAACAAAGCGACGAACACGACGAAGACTGCATTTCGAAATTCAAGTGCGTGTGGAAAAAATAGTAGCCACAAGAGAAAAAACTAGTGTTAAATAGAGTGAGTGAGTGCGAAAGCAAGGAGAGAGTACATTTGTGTGGCAGTAGTGGATTTTAATTACGCGCTAAAAATTGAAATCAACGCACGTGAAACGAAATCTGATATCTATACCTACCGAAAGAGAGAAGGAAAACGAATCCATTCAACCAATCATAAGCTTGCTTATCGTTCGAATTCCGTGTTCTCTTTTCAATTTTTTCTTGTTTCTTGTGTGTGCGCGCTCGTAGCTAAATTTTTCTTTTTCTTTCTCAACTGATTCGTATAATATATCCAGTTTTTGTGTGCTCGTGTTCGTTTCTTTTTTCTTTCGTTTTTTTTTTTGTGCCGGATTTGTTTGCGGTTGTGTATATAATGGATTTCCATTTCGCATTTTAGCTGTATGTACGGGATTTCGTAATTACTCTAATAATGGATATTGTTTCTGCTGTTTTTCAAATTAAAATTGGCACAATTTGATATGTCAACACTCATCCAGATATTCTGGGCATAAATGAAGTTTGTATTCAGCAAGGATTTGAAGAAAGAGAAAAAACGTGGTGTGCAAACGCAGTTTGAAAATACGACGACGGCGGCAACAACAACAAAAAAGAAACGACAAATTTTTGCAAGCAGAGAGAGTAACAGACTTAACATAGTACACATGTGAAGCGAAAAGCAGCACGTTCTCTTTTTTTTCGAGCAAACATAAAGCAAAACGTGGATGAATTGCATATATTGCACACAAAAGCAGTTTTCACCGCAAATTTTATCCGTTAACAAGAAGTGAGGCATCGACACATACACACACACCAGTTAAGTCAAAAAGTGGCATAGAAATAGTGGTAGCACTGAATATCTCACGAAATATGGGGTGTGTGTACACATGATGCGTACGTGTGCTTTCAATGAAAATAAATGAACACGATTCAGTTAATCGGATGAGAAACGTGAATAAAAAAAGAATTACTTTCACGAACAACGACAACACAAAAACACTAAGCTAACGCAAAAGAAGGAAAAAAGTGGAAACGGCGACGGTATTCAGCTTTAAACAATCTTTAGAACAGTCGAAGCGAATTTAAGCATTACAAGAACGTAACCGACAAAAATAAATATAACGATGTCATCATTAGAAATACATTATCAGAAGATAATACAGCGCTAACGCTGAGCAAAGGAATATACTACGAAAAAAAAAATAGAGAAGAAAAAGAGATTCGTTTCATCTCTTAGCATATAAGGAACAACGCTGTCCTTTATCTCTTCTATTTTTCCTCTTTCATTTAAAATTCTCATTATTATTTTTATTTTCTTCTATCGCAACGGGCGAATAAAAAGAAGAACAGCATCAACAACGTTTACAATAACAATTTAGTTGTGTATCCCACTTGGGTATATGTGTGCGTGCACTTCTTTCACCTTGTAATTTTACTGCCAATTAGATTGTATTGTGCCAGCGAACGAATTCAATGTGATATTCACAAAACAAAGACACACAAGTAAATCAACAATAAAATAGCAAACAGGTAGCAAAAGCTCATCGAAACGACCAGCGTCACAAGGACCGACATCATAGATAAAATAAAGCGTGGCAATTCATAAGCGCGAGAAAACGATTAAAATAACGGTGAAAAGGGTACTGCGAACCGTACAACAACAAACAAATTGATTTCGACACAACAACACACATCAACGAAACAACGTCGCTTACAAAAGACACTCAAATGTTTCATATTTAATAGATTTTGTCAAAGTGTAGTCAAACGAGCGGAGACACCTTTCAGCTAGGTAAAAATTACTGAGAAAAGGCCACAATTGCACATATACACACGTATCCATTTATTCTTTCTATGGTCTGAACTTTCTATCTCTTTACCTGTGCAAAACGATTACCCCCCATAGGCATTATTGAGACGGCTTTTATGAATCATCATCATCATACAATCATTATTCACACTTTCGATCTGCTGGTGATTTTTCACCACTTTAAAACACTTTAAAAGACACAAACACTCAACTCAATTTGCATCTCATTTGAAAAGAAAAAGAGACACAAAAAAGAGAGCAAAAAAGGGAACCATTGAAAGCCACAACGATCTAGCACAAACCATTGAACTAAAGCCCATTTTGTGCACGGTGACAAATATCTAGAGAGTGAAAAAAAATAGAAGCAAAATTGGAATTGAAGTCAACCGACAACACATGCATCTTCAACAAACACATTCAATTGAACGAGACATAAGCATCGATTCAAAATAAAAGAGTGAGAAAGTAACAACCGAAAAACAACACATATAAACGACATCAACAGCAGTAACAGCGATAACAACAACGAGACAGTAGTGAAGCAAGATATCAATATATTTAACAAGAAAAATCAGCTTTCACACATTCAGTCACATCGCATTCATCATCTAAACACCATCTGATTGCCTCAAATCATAAAAAAGCATACCGAAGCCCACAAGGCATCGAAGGCATTGTATATACGTCGAACCATTTATATTTCAATCATTCGACTGTGTTCAAGAAGAGTTACTGCCGTGCTTTAGATGAAATACCGCAAGTCATTGCGATAAAGTTGAAAAGAAGCACACCAACACCACCACCAACAAAAAAAGAATACCGAGCGAAAAAATAAGAAAATAATAAGCAAGAGCTGTGTGGTCGGTAGAAAAGTGTATGCGCCAACAACTCTTTTATTCAAAATCTTATCACAGGCGAAACGAACGAACAAAAAAAGGGGAAAAAAAACAAATCGAGCTCTAAACGGCTTTAACTTGAGGAATTTAAAGAAAGACAGGGACAGGACGCGTGCAGTTGAACGACGATAATCAAACAAATCGAGAAAAATTGCAACAAATTTTCCATTTCTGTGCCACCCACCAGAAAACTCTCATCGCCAGTTTTAGCTCAAGACCATTATTTCACATCATTTGCACTAAGGCACACGGGGACGTCAAAACGTCGACCATCAATTTACATCAACACCATCATCACCATCATTGCCATCGCCATTACCATCATCATCTTCGTCATCATCAACAACAAAAAGTATATACAAAATACAGCAACACCAAAATACACACAAAATCTATCTCGGCTGAATCACTGAGAGAGAGTAATGGATTCCAACTGCTTTTATCATATTCTACTTTATATCTTCATCATTTTAAAAGGTAAGTGAGTCGTAACTTTTTCCTATCCACAATGAAAATAGTTTTAGAACTGTCTTTGCGACCAGCAAAAAAGAAATCGGTTTAGAGAAGATAAAGCAGAGACGAAAGTTACGTAGACGCAATGGGTAGTTGTTAGCCTTATTATTCGCATAATTTGTTGGCTGAATAAACTCGACAAAAGATACTCGGCCGGATGAGAAACGGATAGAAAGTGAAATAAAACTCTGAATGAAACACAAAATTTAAGCAATTCGGGCGAAAATTCTTCGGCATAACGACCTACAAATAGCAATGTGCATAAGTTTGCAGTTAAATTGGGCATTCCAGTTGAGTAGTTTTTCGCAATTAGTAAACTGTCTAAACAATAGCAAACCCTTATACGGTTTATGCTCTTTTGCACGGCGGCCAGATTGAATTGCAATCTCGAACGTTGAATGTCGACAATCAACCGCAATACAATGAGACAACAAGCAGCCTTTGTGCCGAGCTTTTGACCAATTGCGTTGCCTTACACATTAATCTCTCACTCTGTATGTGTGTGTGTGTGCGCATATGTATGTTTGTATACACATTTAACTGAAATCCAATGCAACCATGCACAAAAGGATCGAGTCATTTTACAAATTGCGCTTTATTTCTTTTTATGCTCATGTATTCAAATTCGATGTTTGCCAATGCCACGGTACACCACTTGACCGCGAAAACGATTCGCCAAAACCCGACACACACATATTTATATGGCTATGCTCTTACACTATATGCATATACATTGGTAAACTTGTAGCACACGAAAACATCCGCTATATCAATTAAATTGTCGACAAACGAAAGAGAGGGAGCAGGAGAGAGAAAGAGAGAGACGACGCATTTGATGTTTAATTGATTTTGAATGGCAATCGTTACCATTATTCGTATTGTATTTTGAGCAACCAAATACTTCCAGTCAAATGTCAAACTTTAAGTGGGAAATTCTGTAGTAGTTGAAACCAAACCGGGCAAAAAGACGCAAACATGAGCAACAAAACATTATACTCGACACTCCCATGAATCTGGGGGATTTTCGTTCGACTAAAGCATGAAATGATCAAAACAAACAAACAACACTTTATCGATTAAAACGGCGTTAAAAAAAGTACTCATTTTGTTTGCTGCAACAAAAGGTATGCGAGAGAGTGATGCTTTCTATGAAATTTCGAAAAAAAATTAAAACTTCAAACCACATTGACATTGTGAAAGGTTCTGTATGCCTCTCGCCTAAAAACTAAATACATATTTTATGAGAAAATGTTTGGTTCCCATAAGCAGTTAACCCCTAGAACTGAACAAACATTATGTAGAAAGCCACCGGATTACCATTTTCGTCATTAATTTTATGTAGATGACATCGGCCAAAAACTTTTCACTTTACCCGCCGAATAAACGATCCAACCAGCCATACCATTTTATGTACAATACATTTACTACCTATCTGATGTGCATGCGAAACAAGAACAAAGCAATTTTATGTAAAATACATTAATTACGACAATAACAACGTCAACAATAAAATAGAACACTCTTCAATGTGGTTCTACACTATAATAGAGTAGAAGCATACATTTTTTTATCCACAATGTAAAAAGCGGTGCGTCCAACGAATACATCATCATTTTGTTTTATTTGTAACGAGAGAAGCGTTGTACAGAGATCACGGGCCGCGTGCGGAACAAGAAACTGAGAGCCAGTATGGACAGGCAAAAGCAAGAGTTTTCGGGCAACACGTCGCCAAAGCCATATCAGCATGACATTGTGTGAGATGGTGTGATGCAACGCAATGAAAACCGTCATGCAAAGAGACAGGGACGGAGAAAGAGAGTGAGAGTATCTATCTACTGACAAGTGGAAGTGGATCTATAGTTCTCGCCCAATACCAACAATAATTCACTTAAAAAGTTGTGAAATGATTATGACATGGTTTTTATCCCTATTTGAAATGCGTGCGACATTAACAAAAACGTTGTTGGAACTCACTCTTGGTTGTGTCGCGTACGATACGATGGATCGGACGCTTTTATGTCAACCAATTGGTAATTGTAGTCAAACACAATTTTTCTGCCTGAAAAATTAATCCTTTGGGCAATTGCCAAAACTGTGGAAAATTTCACCATTCCATTTCTCGAATGTTTGAATTGCTGTTATGAACGTTGATTATGACCATCCGAACGATTCGAGTATATCGCGATTGTAAGGCGTGCAGCCTCTTTGGTTCGGGTGTTCGCATAAATGATCGTTTATTGGTCATAACATTATAACTAAACGGACCAATTTATTTGCTGTTGCTATTGCTACTGTTGTTCGGTATATTTAGCTCCGAAAACGATTCAAAATCGAATTTATATGCACATTCACGTTTCGTGCATTATTACGTATTCATTCGAGTTTTTTTTTGTTGCTTTCAACACAGCCTCCTTCCCACTCTCTAGCACGCCACTTTCTATTGCTGGTTTGCTTGCCGTGGAGACTATGTTGTTCACTTTCCGGTGTGTGTGCCTGTTTTTTTCATGACATTTTCATTGCAAACTCTTCCGATGTTGTAGGGAGGAAGTTGAGAAAATTGTGAACGAGAGTGGGCGAAAAAGATTTGTTACTTTTAACAACCCAATCTCATTCCCTTGATATTCAGTTTCATTGCATAAAAACCCAAGCTAACATTGAAATGCATTCTAGTTTTTATGTGTTCCGTACAAATTTCAATTCGTTGTGCTTTTTTTGTGCTTCACTTCCGATTCGACGGATGTTTGTTTGGCCAGCATATGCGATGGCAAACTCCATATTTTCGATGCCATAAATTTTATTTTCAATAAATGCTTAATACTAACAATATGCGTATACATGTAAGCAATTTATTTTGACGCTGTCCAAACTCTTGCCTTATATCACACCGAAGCAGTTAAAGTTTCATACATTTTTTTTGATAATTGTTTTTGGTCAAAAAAATTTGTTTGACAATTTTCCGGGTGTTTTTGTATGGAGCTTGCTACTTCGGCACATAATTCAACATATTTTTGACAGCATGGGTATTATAATACCGACATTTATTGCACACAACTATTTATTATGCGATTATTGAAATAGTCAAATTCAAAACCGTTTTCATTTGAAAAAAAAATAATTGAAAATTGCAATTACGATGGACTCAAAATGTAAACGCAAAATCCGGGTCATTTCATTCAAATATTCATTGGATTTTCGACGCTCTATGTAGGCAAATTGAATGCGGCCCTCGTAATTCAGTTTGGCAACTGCAAAATGGGCAGAATTCCCATGAAATATTCACAAATACGCAATAATGAAAATGTAGTTACGTGTATGTAATTACACGCTCATTCGCAACAATGGGCCAAAAAGGCGACCAAGAGGTAAAAGTTTTGTGTGTACTTAAAACTCAACTTTTGAAATGATTGACAAACTGACGACAACGGAATTTTTAATTTCAAACAAAAATTGCACACATTACCTTCATCTCAGCCGCCACGGTTCACAGCACGATGAATGCAATAAAAATATCAGAAAAATAAAAGAAACCTCGTGTCATGTTTTTCTGCCTTCAAAATTTCCAAACTTCATTTTCTAGACAAAACGTTGACGATGATTTTGTTTGCTGTTGCAAATGAAACGTTGTTCTACCGCCGCAAAAAAAAACATAATTCAAATGGAAAGAAGAGGGAAAAAATGGATTTATTTTGTTCGGTATTTATTGTGCATACTCAGTTTTAAAGCAAAAACTTATACTACCTGTGTTCTAATTGAAAATCCATTCAAAAATGATTCTCCAGCAATACAATGCACAATACGGAGTTTTGTATGTTTTTCACTGGAAATTTATGTAAATTAATCCTATTTCCGTTCTTAACCACACTCACTTCTGCGCTCGTTCCTCTATCCTTTTTCGAATGCTATACAAAAAGAACAACCATCATTTTCGGAGTTTGTATTCGTGTGCTTGGTTGTGTGCCGTACATTTTTTTATCATTTTATACCATGTTGCTGTGGTCTCTGCAACTATCATACTGTTTTATATGTGCATTTAATGAGCGTCAACCAAAGTTCTAATTCTTCCATTGTCTCTAATCTTTCTATTCTCTGTCGATTCGAAATTCGAGTCTTAAAACTAATAATTTAAAACTTAATGCGGCTGGAGAGAGAGAGCCCACACATACCAAAGAAGACACATACAAACAGTAGATGGGAAACTTTCAATTCGATTTGCACAATGAATAGAGATGTAGAATTCGGTTCTATTTTTTTGTTTGTGGTTTCAACTGAACTATGTGTGAGTGGCAGAGAGCAAAACCTCATTTATTAATAGGTTGAATGTATTTGCACTTATTTGCCATGACCGTTTTTCGAATGAAATTAAACAACTGTAACACCGAACGGCAAAACAAAGAGCACAAGTCGAATTAGGTACAGAGAAGAAAGTTCAATGAAAATTGAAGAAATTGAGTTTTCGATTGCAAAATCAATAAACTGTCGCCTGAATGGGCTGAGCACCCGTTATAAAGCTCACGAATCTTCTTGGCGAGAGAAGAAAATCGTTTATCGAGAATCGGAAACAAGAGAACAAGAAGAAAATGGCTACGTTTTTATTTGTCGTATGTGTGCAAATTGAAAGTTTTCCAACCGAAACAACCACGCCTCATTTCCAGCTGCGTGTTTCTCTCCTCGATTTCTAACTCTTTCGTGAAATAAATACATTTCAAGACCGGATCGACAAAGACAAAGAGCTTCAATACACGAATACACTTTAGGCGTATGAGCAACATGGAATGGCCATAAAATACAATTGAAATTCATTTGGTTTGGATGACATGCAGTGTGTTTGTATGAAATTGTTTGCTTAAAGTCCAATTTCAAACAGAAAGCAAGATACACGATAAGAAAGAGAAAAACACACATAAATATAAAAATCAAGTATAAATATAAGAAGACACACACACACGCACACACAAAGGTTCAATTACATTCGTCTGAATACAAATCATTAGGAAAATTGTGTATTTTCCAAATACACATTTCTAAACATTGTCAAGTTTGAACAACAAAATGTCTGTGATTTAATTCAAAAACAGCATTTACCCATATAATTGTTCGAGTATTTCATTTGTTTAATCTGCATGCAAATTGCTGATCGGTCCGGCACACATTCGGTTTTGATTTGTTTAATAAGTTTTAGACGTTCTGAGAGAATGAGAGTACAAGATAATATATCTTTATGCATGGACGGAGAGAGAGAGAGAGAGAGCGTATTTATTGGATTGCAGTTCTGTGAGGATAATTTATTCCTTTGAAAAGACATTTCATTTTCGTTAGTTATGGTGCATATATTGGATGATTATTTCGGATTTTCGGATACACATTTAACCTAGTTTTTTGTCTTTCATTTAATGTACCCTCCTCCAAAAAAAAAACAATGACCGTTAACGAACCCAACTGGTTTACCTTGATAAATACATACATCCAACTTGAATGGAATTTTAAATCGAATAAATCCTCATTTAGATTGATCATAAATCATATGAAATTCGCAAATATTTGGAACACATACACCTTGTATAAATGAATTGAATGCCATAAAACTGAAGCAACTTCTTGCTTGCCAATACAGAAGATGCCGTCAACCAAACGAAAGAACGAGACTAGAAGCGAAAAAGTTGATATGATTCAATGCTAAATAATGCCATTCATCATCAATTCATTACCAATTGGCTGCTCATTCATTGTGTATGGCATTTATGTATAGCGCATAGCAAACGCTCGCGCACCAATTTTCCCACTCAAATGGATTTGTTGACGAATTGCTTAGCGACAGCAATGCCGTACATCGTCATCGAAACACACGTAAATTTTCCGTCATTTCACAAAATGAAATGGGATGCTCATAATCTCATTCATTTTGGTCTGATTAAAATTCATCAAAATGAAATTCACCTGTATATTGTATCTTATTACTCTGCGAGCTTATTCGTACAGCGACCGAAATATAAATATATATATATATATCCGTTCCGTTTTCATGCTCAATGTTCTCGGCTTATTCTCTTTCTACATTAATTTCATCGCTGCCAATGCTATTTTGGGTGATTAAATGATTTATATCGATTGCGATTGAGATTAAGATTCGAAATTCCGATTCGGACACCACGCGTTTTCAAAGTGTATGATGTACACAAAGGCTATTTGCATTTATTAGTCGACAGCGAGATGGTTCGTTAAACATTAGCTAATTTATCTCATATCGCTGTGGCGGTTGTTTGTTTAACGTTTTATCATTATTTATGTTTATATAATTTGCCATTACCATAATGTTTAATGATTTTATTTATATAAATTGTACACAGGAAGTCATCAAGGACCTCATGAAAGACGTCTGCTCAATACATTGCTTAAAGATTACAATACACTCGAGCGACCCGTATCCAATGAATCGGATGCGCTGACTGTTCGATTCGGTCTAACGCTCCAACAGATTATCGATGTGGTAAGTGAACTTGTAAAATATTGAATAGATTACCTCTTTTTTTTAGCATCAAAATCTTTCATTGCGCGGAACATGAACAATCGAAATGTGATTGATGCGAAGCATGAATTGTTGCTTCGTACACAATCCAAGCAATATTGTTGCAGGAACAGCAACAATATGCTAGCGAATGTATGATTTCTCGTTTTGAACGAGAGGCGTTTCAACATATTGACCCTTTCAATTTTACATCACAATGATAGACAGTATCCTTTCACTTTCTAGATTTTTAATCATTTTCTTTGTTGTTTTGTTTTTTCTTCTCTCAATTTCAGGATGAAAAAAATCAAATTCTCACGACGAATGCATGGCTGAATTTGGTATGTAAATGAAAAACAAAAATGAAGCGCAAAAGTGCTCTATAAATGAAAATTTAATGAAGGTTTTTTCCCTCATGGAACGGCTATTATCAATGCAACGAGTTTCCTTCAACGCCCGCTGAATCGGAGTTTTTATCAATTTTGTCAATATTATTCGATGAGATTTTTGCTTAATTTTTGTTTTTTGTTCATCGCGGTCCGTCCGTATTTTCTCTTTATTTCGCTTCGTTGTGGCACACATTTTTGGCTTCGATCGGAAATGCTCGTCGAATTTCCAATCAAATGGTGTAAATTAAATGCGCTCAATTCATGCCATTCACTACACACTATTCATTTACACATGCGTTTTTTTTCTTCACCAGATCCATACGATAAAAACACCATTCACAATGAAAATTAATTATATTTGAGTTTTTGAGGCTGCAGCCGACTGCAGACCATGCTTCGGCCATTTAAATTAGGTTTGGCGCACGCGATATATGTATATGTATGAAAAAAAATCTCATTTTCTCTTGCGTGCCATTGTTTGATGTCGTGTCTGTGCGATTGGACGAATTTTAAATTTGATTACTACAATTTATTTGCGTAAACGTTGTCATCTAACAACTTGTGGATGCGAAATATGCATTGCTCTTAAATTGTCGAATTCGTTCATGCTACGATATATTTCGGAACTTTACCAATTATTGCCGACATCGAGAGCAACGTCAAAAAACCAATTTGCACATGAATGAAATTATTGTTGTTGGCCTTCCAAATCATTCTACCACTAACAACAACAATAATGGTCTGGCATGAGGCGATGCCAATAAAAACCAACAAAAAAACCGATGACAATGGCAAATTGACGACGACCACTACGAAAATCCAATGGCAATGGCGTGCAAATTTGGTCAGAAAAATGTGCCAACATCAACAGAAAAAAAATGACACGAAAGAAATCCAGCAAAAGAAATAAAAAGCAATTGTTACACCGAAAATTGAAAATCAATTTTAATGTCAAAAAAATTATTTCGCATGACTCTTCTGCTAACCTCGAGTTCCAAATTAACGTATTGTATTACCCGTGTTTTTTTTTTCAATGTCTCTCATCATCGATTGCGAAATGTATTGCAAGCCATATTCTCACACTGATGATTTATTACACCGAGAGGATAAATGTTCACGTGTTTTTTTCTCCTATTGATTTTATTTATAATGTGAATGCATATTAACCGCACGGCATGAAATGTCACCTTCACTTTTACATACAAAATCCCATAAATTGATTATACATTTTTATTATATCGTTTTCGCGCATATTAAACACATAATTCGCAATACAGGAATGGTTTGATTACAATTTAAAATGGAACGAATCCGAATACGGTGGCGTTCGAGATTTACGGATAACCCCACAAAAGCTCTGGAAACCAGACATTTTAATGTATAACAGGTAAATCTTGTTTGGTTTTTCCTTCTTTATTTATGCATACATCATTGAATATTTGTTCTGAGTCAGTAGTTCGAAATATCCGAATGTATACGATGTGAAAATTGATGGCATAGAAAATGATGTATATATAATTTTGGGTCAACAAATATTGAGCGTGAATTTATTTCAATTCCAATTTTGCCCATGAAATTGAGTCTATATGATTATTTGATTGTATCGTTTAAATACATATTTCACTGCATTTGCATATCGTAAAACACAACTCATTTAAAAATTTAATTTTGTCCGCGATTTTGCATAGGGAATAGGGAAAATTATTTCATTGGTTAATTAAATGGAAGTTTACCATTGCTTTTTGTAAAATTTACATAGACACACATAATTTTCATTCCAAAAATTCATAATTACATTTTTGTTGTAATACATACATTGTTCTTCTTCACATTGAATTCAAAGGTAGAAACCATATATTGTGCACCGGAACATTTTTCCCATGAAACTAAAACACATTTTATTGGAAAATTAAACGGATTTTATTCACTTTTTGTAGCGCGGACGAAGGATTTGATGGCACGTATCACACGAATATAGTAGTTAAAAGTAACGGAAGCTGCCTGTATGTCCCTCCAGGTAAGCAAATTTTGTAGCGATGACTTTCAGTTAAGTGAACATTATTCGATACTAAAACCACCTACTCAACTTTCTCTCTCACTCCCTCACGCTCTCTCTTTCTCTCTTTCTGTGTCGCTCACCTTTCACATTGCATTGATTGGTCGATTCTCTTCAATCACAATTATAATGATCGATGAGTGAAATGTTTCAATCAATTTTCAATTAAAAACAAATCAAAGCATATTGGAACCATACGTATTTGTGGAAAGAGCGAACGAGCGAGTGGAATGAGAAATATTCAATGTGAATAATGTTAAATGGTGATTTGATCGATTAAATTTCACTTAAAATTGCTTATTTCCTCAATTTCAAAATCAGTTTCTGACAGATTTTTTTCTCTTTTCCCCTCCTCTCTCTCTCTCTCTCTCTCTCTCTCTTCTTGTCTACAAATATTTGAATTTAACAAACTGATTGGATTTTTGTTTTATTTGCATTTTGTAATGGGGGAAAACACGCGCAGGTATATTCAAATCAACGTGTAAAATCGATATCACATGGTTTCCCTTCGATGATCAACATTGCGAAATGAAGTTTGGAAGCTGGACTTATGATGGAAACATGGTACGTATGTGAAATCAATGCGTAGTTAATAACACCCGCACCATCCACACGAACGCTACATGAAATTAACAGATACATAACTGTGCCGATACAACAATAACAGCTGAAGACGAAAAAAAGTGTAACAATTCGCGAAATTGTAATGTTGTGAACAAATTGTACTTTGCCGAATATGAGCAAATAAATATAACCCAAAAACCAGCATCCAGTCGACGGATTCATAGGGTTTTTATTATCTAATCGTGCATATTACTCGTGTTTCATCCGTTATTTGCACGATGTGTATTTACCCATATGCTTCAACAGCAATAAAAACCCACTCTCTCTCACACACACACACACACACACACACAAACAACGACCGTGCCGTACAATATTAAATGCAAATGGTGAAAAGCAAACAAGCTGTCAGACAAATGAACAAGTAACAACAGGAAAAATGTTGCACGCTTAGTTTATTGTTTAGAATGGCTGAATGGCATGAATGGTCGCGCGCGCGACGCATCCCAAAATGATCACGTGCAACACACACACAGCATGCCACTATACATTTTCGAATTTGGCATAATTCACATTCATTCCGATTTGATTTTAGCATCCTTGTAATCGTAGCCCTTTCCGCTGCCATCGTCGTCATGCTGATACCACCATTGATGCTACCGTTATTGGATAAAACACAGTATTTCCCTCTTCGCACGCTTACTAGTTACACTGTTTCGAGGACAATGTATTCCGTATTGCAATGTACAGGCGGAATGGAACAAAAAAGAAAGAAGAAGAAGAAGCGAACATTTTTACAACCTTCGCTCCATTTTTATACATATCGAACTTTAACGCCAATTGAATATTCCAGACTTTTCAATAAAATATTTTGCACCTGTTCGCTTCAAGCATCCTTATTTGAAAACGTTGTAAACTGTAATCCGTGCTCTTCAATCGTGCTGCATTTATTTTCATTTATACATTCCAAACAGAATTTTTGTCAACATTTTTATTTTCGGTTCCTACAACTTGTTGTTGTTCTTCTCTTCGCTACATTCCACCTCTCGCGACACACAAGTTTTATGTGCCTGACATTTGACTCGTGTGAATTTTCGGTATATTGCTCCCTTCAGCATTTTAGAAGTAATGTTTCCCATCTGATAGAAAATGCAACGTTTTCGTTTTTTAAAAAAAATATATGTATATTCTTTTAAACACCATGGAAGAAATATACTATAGAAACAAGTTTTTCAAAAACGAATAAGAATGAAAAAAAAAAATATATATATACAGAAAGATTGTAACAAATGGCATGTCACACTGTGCAAAAAAAGAGTTTATCAGAAATTTTTTGCCGTCATATACATATTGTTATGTGTTTAAATTGACATTTCAATTCGATAAGTAGATCTTAACTATGAAATAAAAACGTTTCCTTTTCTTTCGTTTTCGGTTTATTTTCTCTTTCTTTTCAATTTCATTCGTTTTCATCTCGGGTTTTATGTAACTGTTGTATATCTGCTGCTGCTATTGATGTTGTGCCCTGATGCATTGATGCCTTTTGTTCGTTGATATTTGCTCGCTTCCCGGCGGAATTTTTCGACAACAAAACAAACATTCTACCACATATTATATTGGCTGTGCCCTGAATTATATAAATCACAGCTTGATTTGGTATTAAAATCAGAGGAGGGCGGTGATATCTCAGATTTTATTACAAACGGCGAATGGTTCCTACTCGGTAAGTAAAGCTTACTTCTCAATCTATTATACAAATACATCCATACACAATATACATACATATAAATTGAGAAAATTTAAAGCCATCGAAAGCCACTAGCAAACATTTTTGTTGCAATTTACAATGTGAGAAATTGTGTGAATGTTGCGCGCTCAATAAAAGTCAGCACGTATATATATACACACACACGATGTGTATATATACTGAAATTTTATTGAAAGCGATCAAAAACCGAAATATACACACTTTTCACATTCAACCATGCCCTGTGGCACTCAATGTTACCAAAGTAGAATCAACACAAACACAATGCAATATCTTCTCTTGAAACTCAATGTTTTGATCCTTTTTGATTTCTCTTTTTCTTCTGCTTTTCTCTCTTTATCCATGTGAATCGTTGTCGTAAATGAAACAATAAAACAAAACAACGACAAACACAACAACAGGTATGCCAGGAATCAAGAACACAATAAATTATGCGTGTTGTCCCGAACCATACGTAGATGTTACATTTACAATTCAAATAAGACGTCGAACGTTATATTATTTTTTCAATTTAATCGTACCGTGCGTTTTAATTTCATCGATGGCCCTGCTCGGGTTCACATTACCTCCGGATAGTGGAGAAAAATTAACATTAGGTATGTACAAAGCTATTTATATTACTACCATCTATTTACCGAAACCATTTGTTTTGTTTTTTTAAATAAGATGAAAAAAAACAACAACTACTCTACATATATATATTGCGAATTTCGCCATTTTACTTTGCATATTCTCTTACAGGTCTTATTTTTTTATATTGCTCTTCTAACATTTTCTCTTCGATTTGTCCTTTTATGCATATTCTTTATCTCCGATATGATAATTAGAATATTTAAGTATTCTATTTTGAACCAATTTTCTTTCAAGCTTTTATTTTCATCTTTCCCTGTCTATCGAACGAATCGAATTATTTATCGAAATAAATTACCACGATATAGGTGAACGCACGCGGAGAAAATACATTAGACAATATCAAGCGAAACCGAATTTAATTTAGAAAGAAAATGTATTGAAATCATTTACATGTATCAACAAGAAAAATTGATTTTAATGCCACTAACATCTGAACATCTGAACATCGAGTGTAATCATCTCGATATTGAAATTGCTTTCGTCGATTTTTCCAACATAAACAACTATATTTTGAACTAACGTCAACCAATTTATAGATAGAAGAGGTTAAAGAAAACGAAAACCGGATGAAAGCGCTATCAACAATTTGGTTTCGTGTGGAATAAATTCAATTGAAAGTATTAGAAAAGAAAACGTGATGGAATAGGGTAGATGTAAAAAAAATTCATTTGTTGAAAACGTGGGATACATACCGATTTTTCCGTGTCGTCCGTGACAAAAAGACGAAAGAAAAGGGAACGACAAAAAAAAAAACGCTTCGCCTGAACGAAAAAAGAAAAGATGAAAAGCGGTTTTCGTCTCTTTTTTTTGGCTTCATTTCGGTTGAAATCGGTCAAAGAACACGTAAAAATGTCCTTATCTAAAATTTACTCACTCAAATCGAAACAATCTAACCACACATTTTCAACTAACTATTCACTATGTGGTTCGTTTTTTACATAATTTTTTTTTTTTAAGTTCGTTTAGTTTATATAGATACTAGAAAAAAATTTACTTACAGGATTGTGACGATAATTCTCGACCGTTCTCATTCAACACTTCTTTTTACCTTCCCCCTTGATTTCCCCGATAGATTTTAAATTCTAGCACTTTCATTCTAAGTAGGACATAACACACCCAAAAAAACTAGCATAGACACACAGACGACTACTATTTATTAAAATATTACCTCATTTGAATTTATTCGATAAGTGCAAAAACCATCTGTGTTTGTATTTCATTTGTCTGCTGTGCTATTGCTTTATCTTATTTATTCTTCTTCTCTGTTTTTTGATGACTAAAGCGAACGAATTAACATGAAGTGAATAAATTTCTCTCGAGTTCAAAGAGTGATTATTCGAGTGGTAGGTTACGTAAACAAACATTGAGATAGGTTTCGTCTCAAATTCGGTATTTTATTCATAAACTGTTATTGGAATGGGTAGATAGACACAGACATATATATACAAAACCGTACACAAAAACCATAACAGACACAAAAACCAAAATCAGACAAATTAGGAGAAAATGACACAAAGATATGCCCTGCACTCTGTCTCAAAATAAAATACAAAACAAAACGATACAGACTCATACATAAAAACATTACGACCAACATTGAATAAACCCCATCAAAACCCACAAAACTAAACCAACGCATCAATTTTTGTTGTTTTAATATAGGTGTTACAATTCTACTTTCGTTAACTGTTTTTCTGAATATGGTGGCGGAGGCAATGCCAAGCACGAGTGAAAGTGTACCATTAATCGGTTCGTAGTAGGCTCTGGGTGGCCTCATTTATACTCTTAATTTATTTAAAACACCAAAAAAAAACAGAATTTTCGTACCATATAAAATGCAACCCCACACCAAAAAAAACCATTAAATGCCATATTCATAGCAGTAAAGAAAACAAAATTACATGCTATAACTAGAATTTACTTGTGTTGTTGTGATCGTCATTTTAGAGCGTTGCTAATTTCTGAATTGCGTATTGTGTTTTATTAAACCTACCGAATACTTCATTGAATGGTATGATTGTGTCGTTCGTGCATAGCAAGCTAACAAAAAAAAACTGTAAACCAAAAACAAAAACTAATGCGATCGTGACCAAAAGTAATCAGTTGAAACTACCCCAAAAAATACTCTAGTACATTTCTGTGGACTGATAATTGCCAACTGCAGCCTCAATAAATTGTTTTTTTTTTCTGTTTTGTGTATGTGTGCGCAAAAATGTTTTTGTTTATTTAGTTAAATTTTAATGGGATGTTTTTCTGTATTCTTTTAATTTTTTTGCCGTCTAAATCGTTTTTAGTCGATGTGTTGCTTTGAAATAAGTTTTCGTTTTTTTTATTTCTTTATTCTGTTAGCTTTTAACTAAAAAAAATCATCATCAACCATCAAAACCATCCATTGGCTTGTTATGTCGACTGTTTAGTTTCCATTTGAAAACATTCATTTGTGTTTTATTTCAATCATCAAAAATGCATTCAACTTAATTTTCTGTTGCGGTTTTCTTTTGTCAGATTCTTCTTTTTTTTCGTGCATTCATCCATTCGTCCATTTGTTCATTCGTAGACAAACTCTAATGTACTTTTAAGGGCAAATTGTAGCACTTGTGTGTGCGCCACTTATTTTTTCTTCACTCTCCTTTATGTGGTGGTATACACAAATCTAGGAAATTAAATCAACAATCTTTGTGCAGAAAAACACTTTGTTTATGTAAAATGAAATTAGTGCGAAAAAAGCAAACCGAAATAAAGTGAAGAGAAGGAGAACGAAAAGAAAAAAAAATATAAACTAAAACAACTCAACGTTATTATTATTGCAGTAAAAATGTTGAAAACGAACGTGTGTACGTTCACATTAATGCAACCTGACAGTTTCTCACATCGAGAGAACGAGTACAAAAAAATGGGAACGACGACGAGACGAAATGAAAATAAAAATAAGTGAAGCAGAGAGAAGAAAAAAAAATTATATATTAACGACGGTTGAAAAATTATGTTAAAAAATGTGTTTCTCTTTTTCTTTTCTGATTGCGCACATTTGTTGCTGTTGTTGTTGTTGTTGATGTTAACTAGGCATTAAAAGCACGGTATATGCATTTGCTCACCTAGTTATCGGTGTAGAAATGGTGTGCCGTAGACAGTGTACAAAAGCAATGACGAACAAAAAAAATATGCACCAATGATTTTATAAATGAACGCTAATCATATTCATGTCCTATAAACACGCACACAAATCGCAATGGTTGAAAGGAGAATGAAAGATCGCGTTACATTTATCACGAATAACGACGAACCAGGTGCAAACGAAGACCCAGAGACACATGCACATATCAATGTGCAATAGATCCACTGAGTGTGGTAAGCGGTAGCGCAAAAGAAAAAAGCAGAGAAAAGCTGTAAAACGAAAATGAAGAGAGAGCGAAAAAAAAAACAGCCGTAAAGGAGTACGAATGCAAGTGAATGCCGAGAAATATTGCAGATATAAAAACTATATTGCATATACAAGTTTCAAACCGATGTTTTTTGCCTGCACCCTTTCTCTGTGTCTTAGACTGTCAAACCTTTTCGAATCGAGCGGATGAAAAGCGACCATGTCTGCGAATGGCTTTTACATTAGTTTGTAACTTTCGCATCGGTTCACATACACTGATTTATGGAAAAATGTGAGTTTCAAACACGCGTTTTATGTGCAACTCATAAAAAAAAGTTGATGTTGTAAAAATGTGCATAGGTACATTTACGTAGGTATATATGCAAACGGACAATTGAAGTTTCCAAGTCAAACCAATATCGTTGACAGGTTTGACTGTATGGCCCTTAGCCATAAAAAAAATGCGCTTCCTTGACTGATTCCATTTTGGTCTCTTTGTGTTTTCTGCCTGTACTCAGGCCATGGATACGTTGCTGAGCACGCTATATGCCACGCACATACACTTTTACATCAACTTTACGGAACAAACTATTGTTATAACATCAAATATAATGTATTTCGCAAATGTTTTTGTTGCGTATTTTTGAATTGTGTTTTGTTGTTAGGTTCCTTGCTTACAAAGACATTTCATCGACTTTATTGTTGCTACTGCTCTACTGCTACTGTTGTAGCTATTGTTGTTGATACGTTTTTTTTCATGTCTTTTTCCCGAGCAGCAGTCTGCTCTCATTCATTTTCTGTTTCTGCGTTCACGAACAAGAGTGAAATCGTTGTGTTTATGTATGCGTGTGTGTGTGCTTTTTTTAATTTTCTTGTAACCTAGTTAACGAGTGAATTGTGACAAACACACGTAAACATTTCAGTTCGCTTACATTTAAATTGTAAAATCAACATTTGCAAGAAGCAAGAGAGAGCTCTGAGTTGTTTGTTGGATGGTAAGCTCAGCATTGAATGCGCGCGTTCCGGCTTCTGAAAACCCAATTCTCATATATAGAAAAATATACGGCTTTTGCTTACAATGTACGACAACATATAAACACGAAAAACTTTACAGCAATTCTCTGAACAAATTGAATGCACTTGAGAAACGAATCAACAAATTGCACAGTCGAGGATCATGAACATACACAAAAAAGGGGGTGTAAAGTAACGAAAGAAAGAGGAGCACAGGAAAAAAAAGTGTATGCTCACTGCTCACAAGAAGTCGAGTTAAAATGAGTGAGAATATAAGAAATGCACATGCGATTGGTTGAGCGTGAGAATAACAAACCAACTGTTAATTGTGCGATGTAATGTGTGCGGAAGCAAATAGAAAAATGCACAAAATACTTTTTGCATAACAAAGTAGTAAGACAAATGCTTGAATTCTCGCTTCCACATCAAACACTTATGCACCTGATAAAATATTTTTCATACACTTCATTTAAGTGCAATGGAAACTTGAAAGCCGGACAAAACGTTTTCATCGCCATCGACAATGTGTTAACATTGCCACTTTGCTTTTAATCGTAAAACCATAAAGTTTTCTACATTTCGTTATTTGTGAGCGTGCACAATTGCAATGTGAACTCATACATACAATACACACGATTTCTTTATCTTTTTTTCTTGATTTCTTTCTTCTGTCGGCCATGGAGTGAATAACATGCACGAAAATGCTCAGCAGCATTCATATTCTGGCGTAAACAAGCGAATAAATGAGCTACGAATGACAAATGAAAAAGTTTGTGTTGATTTCATTGTTGGAAAATTGGTTAAAGTGTTTCAATTATTCAAAAGTGTCTGAATGCGAATTGGAAAAACGGAAACGACAACGGAGAACCATCAAACAGTGAAAATGAGACCAGAATACAAATCAATAATATTATTCGTCTTTAAAATTGTAAAATAAATATCCAGAGTTCAAAAAAATGTGTCAAATGAAAAAAAAAAAAAAATTCTGTTGGACCAGAATTTTCAGCATTAACGAACTAGAGTGTTGACTCGTCATTTATTTTCCATTTTCTTTATGGTCGTTGTCATCGTCCGGCTTCATCATTTGCTTTTCCTTCTCCGTTCATTATCGGTTAAATGCGGAATAGCTGCCAAATTGACAGTTCATTGTTTTACATTTTTCTTTTTGTTTCGTTTCCACGCTCAAAACGTAATATTTTCGCTTTCGGCAACACGACCCGCGCTCTATTCAAAGTCAATTTTTCCCTAGTAAAAAGATGAAAAGTGAGAGAGAGATCGAAAAAAAGCTCGTTCGCATTTGCATTTTGTGCTGAGAAGAATGAATATGCCAACAAATTCATATAAATTGAAAGCACGCAGGACCTTCAAACTCATTAATTATTTCACAGATCAAATTATTTATAATACGTTTTTATCCTCCCTCTTATTTTACTTGAAAATACTCTATTGTTGTGGCTCTTTTGCGTCGCATGAATTATACGATGACATGGCTTCAAGTGCTGCAAAAATTGTTAAAGCTTGTGTGTGTGTATCAGCATAAAATTGTTTGCTTTTATTAAATGCCACAGCTGACCTTTACGGGAAAAATTCCAAAGCGAATGAATGATCTCTCAAGCTTTGTTGTTACTAGCCATCAAGAGTGCGAAAGAGCAAAAGAGATAAGTACCGAAAGAGAGATAATAAATAATCTGGGGCATTAGTGCGATGAATGAGCAGACCTCAAAAATATTTGTTCCTGATTTTACTCATTTTACTCATTCTTTTAAAATGATGATTCATTAATGTGATAATTGAATGAGCAGCTCAAAACGAAACAAAAAACACATGCACCTACACACACCATAGCGTTCAAAATAACAACAAAAAATTATGCTGCAATTTTTCCATTTGGTTCGTTCGCTCTTGAATCATGGACAAAAACAATTCATAATTAACATTAAAAATTAACAGAACGTCGAACAGCAAGGAAACTCGACAAGGATTTAAAGGAACAACAAAAAACATCATGTTAATTTTCAATTTTTTTTCCTTTCGGTTGTTCGCAGTGCTCTTATTGAGCTGCTGTTGCTGCTCAGTTTTTAATTCTTTTGAAATTCACAAAATATCTTTTTTCTCATCAAAGCATCTGACGCAATCAAAAATGCAATTTTGCCCCATTTTCATTTCACTCGATGGAATTTCGAATGGAACGATGCAGGTAGAAGTGGAAAAAGCACGACCACGATTAAAATTTATTTAATTTTTTTTTATGTGAAAAAAGTAAAGATGTGACCAAAATAGTACGAGAAACAAACATAGAACGCAAACGACAAAAAAAAAATACCGGCAACAACAACGACGATTACACAGGAAAAGTCGCACTATCTTGGCTGTT